TTAGCTTGGGGCGTCAACTTGCCGGCACATTTGGTTGTCATCAAGGGTACTGAATATTTCGATGGTAAAGTGAAGAAATATGTAGACATGCCCATCACCGATGTGTTGCAAATGATGGGTCGAGCCGGTCGTCCGCAATTCGATAACGAAGGTGTCGCCGTTGTGTTGGTACACGATGAAAAAAAGAATTTCTATAAAAAATTCCTCTACGATCCATTTCCCGTCGAATCGAGCCTGTTGGGTGTCTTATCGGAGCATATAAATGCGGAAATCGTTTCCGGCACTGTGCAAACCAAACAGGCCGCCCTGGACTACCTAACGTGGACTTATTTCTTCAGACGCCTGCTGCGTAATCCAACGTATTACAATTTAGAGGGTTTGGAACCAGAGCAGCTGAATGGCTTCCTTTCGTCGTTGATTGAACGCGTCATATATGAACTGGAATCAGCTGCCTGTGTGCTGCAACGCGAAAACATGCTTATGCCGACGTTCCTTGGACGCATCGCGTCTTTTTATTATTTATCACATCGCACAATGAAACATTTCCTAGACGATTTAACTGAAGGAATGAGTACGAGTGAGGTGCTAGTGGCTATCGCGGACTCGTACGAATTCGATCAGCAGCCCGTGCGACACAACGAGGATAAATACAATGAGTGCGTAATTTGAATATCAGAAAAGCAAAACATAATTTTTTTTCCTTTTATAGAGAATTGGCCGAATCGTGTCGTTACCGTCCACCCGCTCCAACCTGGGATTCACCGTACACAAAAACATTTTTGCTATTGCAAGCGCATTTCTCACGTCTCTCACTGCCAAATTCAGATTTTTTAACCGATACCAAGTCCGCCCTGGACAATGCCACGCGTGTCATGCAAGCCATGGTCGACTACACAGCAGAGCGTGGCTGGCTCAGCACCACGTTGCGTTTGCAACAACTTATGCAGTGTGTCATACAAGCACGTTGGTTTGACGAATCAGAATTTTTAACATTGCCACATGTCACTGCCGCCAATGTGTCGGTATTTTATAATATAGAACATAAATATGCCTATCTCACTTTGCCGGCGTTGAAAGAGCTATGTAGGAAGGATTACGAGCGTCTTGCCAGTCCTCTAAGAGACGTATTCGAAGAGCAAGAGATTGAACAACTCTATAGGGTATGTACTAACTGTGAAAGTACCGTATTAATTTAATAACATATATATTTTTCCGTTTAATAAGGTGTTGCAAGCTGTGCCAGAGATAAGCGTACAGATCTCCATACAGGGTAGGCTTTATGATGATATGGAAGCTGTGCGAATTATATCTACTGCGCCGTCGACCAAAAACTGGACGAAAATACATCCGAATGAAGTAATATTTCATAGAAATTCTATTATTATAAATTAATTTTTTAACACTACACCTTACTTCTTCCACAGGACTATGTGCTCTCTATAGAAACAAAACGTGTGAATTGGAATGTACGTGAATTGCGTTCACAACATGGGAATCCCACTGCTATACACTGTCCAAAATATCCTAAGGGCAAGAGTGAAGCTTGGTTCTTAACGCTCGGGTCACAAGCCAATAGCGAGTTGCTCGCCATGAAACGTGTTAGTATGCGTGGCCATCGTGCCACCAATCGCATTTGCTTCCAATCAACGCCACGTCGTGGACGCGTGGTTCTCACGCTGTACCTTATCTCAGATTGTCTTATTGGTGTAGATCAGCAATTCGAGCTACAATTTGATGTAGTTGATGCGAAAGTTTGAGCGATTTAAAAAGAAACTATTCGCAAATTTAAGATCAAATGTGAAGAGATGTGCCAGCTGTTAATTGAAACAAAAAAAAAACAACTTTAGCTTTGGGCTCAAAACCAACTATTTTTTATTTCATTGCTTGAAATCCTTAACAATTTTTGTCGTTACTTTAAGTATACGCGAAATTGTTTGCCCCATTGCACTTTATATGAATGTATATTTAAGTACGGAAAAAGTAATATGTAAGTACGTACGCCTTTTTATTAATTATCGATACTATATTCCTAAATGCCCTTTCATATTTTTGTAATTTAACTGAATTTAATTCGTCTAAATTAAAATTCAAGAGTATGAAGAAAAAAATAAAAACTGATAACTTAAATATATATAATTGTATCATTCAGTATTTGCATATTTTCTTCCGAAATGCACAATAGTCAATAAAAACAAGAAAAAACGTTAACTTTGCAACGAAGCTTTAATACTTTTCACAGGTAAATTTCGTAAAGTCTAGGTTAGGTTACACTTTTCTGGCTGGCGTTCACGCTATACATAACATAGACCTTAAGGCCCTTTGTAACGCCAGATGGAGGTTTATTATTAATATGAGCTGATGTTTATGTCGTGCAGAACGTCAACGTTTTTTGCGAAGTTTAATAGAGACTTGATGTCTAATTTTGATACTTGCTCCAGTCCCTTGAACTGTGAAGCGCCTATATATCTAAGCCGAATTCTAGATAAGGTCATGCCACCTTCCCTGCATTTTGTACATGTCTCAACGTTAATAATGCTCATACGGCTTGCACGTAATGCCAGTAAGTTGTGGCTTGTGAATACCATATCACAATGATCCGTCTGTCAAATTGGCAAATTTCGTTGTATAATGTTTTTAACTTCAGTATTTCCTGAGCTGGTTCCTTAGTCAAGCGAATGACACTCTTGGCAATCTCTTCAGCTATTTCATTTCCCGGAACGCCCTTTTGTCCTTTCTGGCCACAACTATATGTACTGCGTCTCTGGTTCTAAGGACATTGATATTAGTGCTTTATTTGCCGCTTGACCATCGACGTATATGATATTCTTTACGTCATTTCCTGCGTTGTTTGCTATCTCCGCAGCGCCATCCACCCTCTTTTAGTGTGACTTGAAACCTTCTCTGCCAGATAAAGCGTGAAGGTATGTGGTCTATTTTATCCACCGACCCCCTGCCTATCGAGTTATGTCCGAAAGTTCTTATGGAAAACTCACCTAACGATTCACAAACATGCAGCTGATTTCGCTGCCAAGCTTTCGACTGCAATGTCAATTGGAGGCAGGTTGAGTAACCTTTCAAGTGCAGCCGTTGGAATGGGTCTTAGTGCTCTCGTCATGCAGAGAGCAGCAAGTCGCTGTATTCGCTCCAACGGTTTCCTGTATTTGATTTTACTGGCAGCGGACCACCACACCAATGCATCGTAAATGCATAAAGACAGGGGATAGGCCCCATGTTGACCCTGACACTTTCTTACATTCGTAGAGGACACCACTAGCCTCTTCCACATTGAGTTTCCACGTCAGTTTGCTGTCCAAAATTACTCCCAGGTACTTGGTGCTTTATTAATGAACTCTTTCCCTCTTTGTAAAGAGTACCTTCGGCTCTTTCGCTGTCAGCGAATAGCTGCCTTTCGGCCGCAATCCCTTCCTCCATCCGGTTCGCAAAACTTCGGATCCTTGGACGAGAATTGCGGTCGCGATGCGTAATAGGCTCGACTTCCTCCCCTTTTCCCTTAGGCCAAGTTTACTTCTCCTCTTCTTCCACCGTCCAGTTGGACTCGAAGCTAAGTCTCTCATGAACTTTGACTTTGTATATTGCTTTCGCCTTCAACCACTTATTGCTGGGTTTTGCCCTGGGCCTAGTCTTTAATGTCGAACCAGCACCGTTGGCATCCCTTTGGAGAACGAAGCAAAACTTCCTCTTCAGTCGTGTTGACGCTTCCAATACTTTCGAGGTCCGAGTCTCCATGCGGGTTTTTGTCCGAGTCTAAAGCGGATTTTGTAGGATTATTGTTATCTTAGGATTATTGACCGTCGGAATTGTAATGCCATCGACTGTAATGTTTAGATCCAGTCTGTATTCCTTCGTCCAATTAGTGAATACAGTCGCTGTAGATTTTTTGGGGGAAGAGTGTTAAGCTCCTTGCAGAGAAGAAAAAAAAAAGGTTGGTGAGATAGCGGTTGACTTTTGAACACATGCCATGGATTCCATTGCCAGGCGTCTATATCATGTATTGGGGGAGTTCTGATATGTAAAAATTAAACAGTAACGGAGAGCAGACACCACCCTGGGGAACCCTCTGTTTAATTCTTCTTAGTTTAGATGTTTGACCTCGAAACAGTACGGATGATTGTCGACCGCTCAGGTAATTCATAGTCCACCGCTTCAACCCTGGAGGGAGCGTGGATTGTTCGATGTCCCCAGGTAGCGTTGTGGGGTTGACTGTGTTGAAGACTTTTGACAGGGTGGCTTCTAGTTTAGGCCATGAACTATCTGGGCATTTATGACGCTAAGTGCTGTGCACTTTTCGGAAGCCATGATAGTGGTCTGCTAGGCTCAGGTGGTGAGTAAATGTCGGGAGTAGCAAGGCCTCAAGGGTATTCAATACTGGGGAAAGGTGAGTTATCGGGCGATAAGACTGGTTGGCGGGTTTCGCAGGTTTCAGCAGTGGGACCACTCTTCCGACTTTCTACTCATCGGGTATTTGAAGAGTGGTCAGCGACAGGTTGAAGACCTTGATTAGGAAACTTACTCCCATCGAGGCTAATTGCTTTAGCATCAGCATGTTTATTCCATCAGGGCAAATGGATTTGACATATATTTGGCATGTCGGGGTCGATTCTAAATATACAGTAACCGAAGTTGAGCAAGAGTTCCCAATAACAGTCGGGTCTACGTAACCGGAACGAACCCGCTGCACATCCGCTCTTCTTCGTTCACCGAAAGGGCGTCAGTGGAGGTGTTAATAGCTCCACTGTGAATAGCGTTCAGTGCATGTCTCTAAATCAGTTGCGTCCCTAGTCAACAGGGATTTTATTCGACAAATTGCTGTTATTTCGGCATTCTAACCCCATTTGGTTTGGTAAGTAACCACTTGCTTGTCTATTTCTCCAGGTATTTTTTCAAACGAAGAGCGTTTAATCTATATACGGGTGAATTAGAAGTGACGTCTAAGAATTAGCTTTTTTATAATATTAATAATGCTTCATTTGTATGGCAACACGTTTTACGGTTTCGGGATTAACAAAACAAACACAAAAGTGCTAGCAACTGCGAAAGTGACAATTGAAAACGTCAATGCTGCGTAGAAAACGAAGACAGCGTCAACGTCAGCGATAGTTTACGTCAAATATTGTTGGGTAGCAGCGGTCGCAGCCACATCAGCAACTGAGTATCATTTTGGTAAATCTATCAAAATACTTTGTGCGGTACAACGATAAGCAATTAATAAGTGGTCTCATCATGGCGATAAAACCTGGCATGGGACGTAAGTCCAGCAGCAAAAATCCACCAATTTTTAGTCATGAATTCGTTATACAAAATCACGCGGACATTATTTCCTGCGTGGCAATGATATTCGTTGTGGCATTGATGGATGAATCTACTTCACCTTTCGCCACCGCTTTTATTTCACTGCATCACAATGTGACTGGTGAGGAACCTAGTCGGGAAAATCCGCAGGGTAAGCCATTTACCTACGTGGCAGGCATTAAGGATTACTGTGCTATCTTCTTTTATACATTAACATGCATCATTATGCACGCCATCATTCAGGAGTATATATTAGACAAAATATCGAAGCGCTTACATCTTTCCAAATTTAAATTGACGCGCTTCAATGAATCTGGCCAACTAATTGTCTTCTATGTGTTCTCGTTTCTGATGGGTGCAAATATTATATCGCGGGAGGGTTATATGAACAAGTTTATGCTGCTGTGGGGAGGATATCCCGATCATCCAATGACGTTTCTGCACAAACTGTTCTTCATTATTCAAATGGCTTACTATCTGCACATGCTGCCCGAACTTTATTTCCAGAAGGTTAAGAAAGAGGATCAGCAAGCAATAATAATTCATTCCATATCCGGTTTCTCGGCCATCTGCTTGGCGTACACATTTAGCTTCCACCGCATTGCTTTGGTTTTGTTGACACTGCATTATCTTGGCGAAATAGTGTCGCATATAATCCAACTGATTGGTGTTTTCGATCGTGAGGAGAAATTCGTTAGCGTCCGTTTCTTTAACAATTCGTCGTTTGTTTTCGTTCGCTTTACTACAATGGTTATTGCGGTGCTAGTATTATATTACGGTATTCCTGGGGAGTACATGATGCGCGCCAATGGAGCACTTATTGGCCTAATGGTGTTGCAGGGTTATTTAATTTATTCATTTACCACTGAGGAGCTACGTGCTACTCGCGAAGCACAACGTGAGGCTAAACTACTGCAACAACAGCAACATGCGAAGAAACCAAGGGCAGTAAAGGAGAAAGCGAAAAAGAAGAAAGAAAGTGATTTGCCTGAGGCTGATCAGAGCCCTAGTCCTGTTAAGTCAAAGGTTAAATAAACATTCCATAGCGAATGCCAAATTAACTACGTCCACCAGTAACATAAACAATAACAATTTAAATCAGCAACTTTTCAAAACTTACTTACTCATCAAGACACAAGTGCTAAATTATCGAAATTTTCTAACTGAAGAGCCCCTAGTAATGTTTTAGAGTATGCTTCCCGCACAGTTACACACACACATACACGTCAGATGGGTAAAAACGTATGAAAGATGTTGCATATTACAATATATGTATATAAAATAATATTAGTAATGGATTGGCAGTGGGAAAGGGAAAGCGAAGATTGCATTTACTTACTGTATACAAAAGTTTCGTTGCAACTCAATTGATTGTGTACAAATTAAACACTACAACAATCTAAGCAAAAAATCAAAAGCTTGAAGCCAACGCTGCCGCCACTGATGCTGCTGTTGCTACCGTTAAATTTAAGGCATATTTCTTTTATATGAAATTAGTTATTTTTGTTTTATTTTTTATACCTACTGTTTAAATACATTTTTACAAAACAATTTCTATCGTAAATTAAATTACAAAAAAAAAAAAAAAAAAACATTAAACGATACTAGTACAATGAGTAAACTTTTGCTCCTATCTGAATAACTGTTTGAATTTTTGAATTCTATATTCGCTTAAATTTACGCTAATGTTTTAATGAACAAATATTTTAACAAGAACAATAATTATATATTAAAAAATATATATATGAGGGAAATAAATGAAAATACTTCTACACTCCACTAACACTTAGACGTTTGAGACTGAATAAAGCTCAACTTCCATTATGATTGTGGTGCAAGTACTGAACCATGACATTGCTAATATTATTATTATTATTACAATTACAATAAATTTAGTATTTAGTCGAAGTGTTTTTACACAATAACAAATTCACAAACGTAAACATAAACAATGCAAATATCTGAATACTTTGCTACTGAAAAACTGCAAATGTTGTAACTAAGTAGTTCTTAAGAGACTGTAAGCTTGCTTGAATATTTTTGTATGAATTATGCACAAAACTAAGCAACAATAAAATATAAGAAAGTAAAAAAGTAGTTAAAAAATGTTTTGAAATTTTTCCTTTTGATAGTTTTATTTAAATATTTAAAATACCATAGGAAGAGTACATCAGCGTGTAATATGCTTAGTGCAGCTTAAATCTTACTTATGTACTTTCTTATAAAAGAATCAATATAATATAATTTGAAAGAAAATATTGAAAGAGAAAATATTGATTTTTCAATAAAGAAACTGGAAATAGTGTTCAATTATGAATATATTGATTTATAAAATTAATTTTTTTACATTGCAAATTTATATAATTTATATTTAATGAATAAAAGTTATATTAACATATATATTTATTTTTATTATCAAAACCTATGATTTGACTAAACTAAAAAAATTTAAATTGCTTAATTAATTAAGTATTATATCAAGTTCATTGAAACTTATTATTATTATTGCAAGTTACCTTTTCTTTATTATGTAATACTTATATTTTATTTTAGATTTATTAATGCTCAAAGTTTCTTTCTTTCCCCCTAATAATCGTGTTTTTGTTTATGTCGTGTAATAATAAAATAATTATACTTAACTCATTTTGTAAATTTGGCATTCTGATTCAATGTTATTCCGCATCACTACTGCCAACGTACGATATAATTTAAAAATCATTCAACTGGCAACACTACTCATGCGTTTTAGAGCGCAGATAAAAGTTAATATTTTTCATGTTGGAAAATCTAAAAAAATGTAGTGTTCTTATTCGAATTGCTGTGAAACTTAAAATTTAGTTTTGTTATTTGCCAATGTGCAACAAGTACAAGGCGAAGTAATTGATTGTGCAAAAACATGTAATTTTGATCTATTAAAATTAAAGTGCAAAATATTTCAACGCAAATCCATAACAGCAAAGTGCTAGTGACGTCTAGGAATGCTATTTGACAAAAAATGTTTAATTATCAGTTTTTCGTATCGTAGCATTTATTATCATCATCACCGATATCCGCAATATCGTAAGCAGCATTCTGCATAGGCCAATAAATCTTGGGGTTACAAGAAATATTGTGTATTGGAACTTTAAAAATACTCTCAAGAGAAGGGGGTGTTTTAGTAAAAGTTTAGTGGTCGAGATATAGAAGCAGCCGCAGTACACCTTTGGCAAGGGTGTACCTGTGTGTGTGCACATTGCTGTGTTTGTGCGGAATCGGGTAGCGGGCGGAGGTGGAGGTCGGTCGACTCTGTCTTATCAGTTCCGAACTGAGCGCTAACGCCAGTGAGCAAACTTCTGCGCCTTCAGTAGAGTTGTCAACGTACACGCAGTCGTTTATAAATTATACCGAAGGTCGAACGATGATATTTATTTATAATTGTAATTTTAGTTAAGTTCAACCGAATTATATTTCACACTTTTGTATCGACTTGAGTTAAAACGGCGACGTGCACAGCATTTTATTTGTCGCGAAGGCTGTATATCGTGGAAGCAGCAAACGCGCCAATCTGCGGAACAACTCACAAATAAACTTTTGTGGACATGACCGACAAGAATGCTGGTCAAAATGGAACGCAGTGGACGAAAACGGTTACAGCTGCAGCTGCTATTGCTGCACAACAACAAAAAACACTTAATACTAATGTTTTATCTGGAACACAACTCCTTCATCAACAACAACGATTATATGATCCAGCGGCGCTAATGCCAGCTCATAGCAGTATTTTTGGGGCAAGTGTTGCTGCTTCGCTTGGACATCTATCCCATCCAGATGGCATAGCACCGTACAGCGGTGCACGCTTTCAGCCACCACCACTACCAATACAACAGTCTACAATAGATGCGACAAATTTATCACATTCTCTCGCGCACCAGCATTCCCAGCATCCATCGCAACTTGTGCAACATCAACCTTCACCGACGCATACACCAACTACAGTTCTAACTGCGCCAGCTGCCGCTTCTCCCAGTGTACCTGTACAAAGTGGCTTTGTGCCACCACCATTACTGCCAGGTGCAGCAACTTCAGTGTTAACGCAAAATCCATTTGCAGTAACACCACAATTGGAACATCTAACACCGCATTTAAATTTGCAACAACAATTAGAGTTGAATAAAATTATGACTGCAATGAATAGTCAATCTAACGCTATTAATTCACCCGGTGCAATAGGCAGTGGAGGGAGCCACGCAGGAAATTTAACAAGTCAACAGCAAACAACACGGCACCTTGTAACCGACGTGCCAATGTCTAGTACTGGTAGTAATAGCAACAGCTGTGGTGGTACAAGTGGAACTGCAACAGGGGCAGGAGCCATTAGCAGCATTATAACTGAGAATGTTTTACATGCGATAAGTGCAACACCAAATAGTAGTGTCAGCGCCAGTATGCCGGCAGTGCATGGACGTTTGACTGGCATTGGAGTGAGAATACCGGATGATGACCGCTTACGTCGTGTACAGGAAATGGTAGAGTCGGGCGTAAGGTGAGTTTCAATGCACTTATTTATGAACCAAATAAATATTTCTTTTTAATTTACAGTGATCTAGCGAAACAACAAATACAACAAATCGTTGATCGCGTTTCAACTTTGAAGCCGGTGGAAAAACTACTGCTTTATTTGCGTTTACCAGGTGAAGCGCCAGAATCAGGTAATAACTTGGGAAACAAACCGATAATATCATATCAAATATCTATATATAATCTCACTGAATTTTCAGATCCCCTGCGGCATCCCCAAAATCCATTAGGTTCACGTTCTGAGATAAATCATACAATTAACTGGGTACGCTCGCACCTAGAACATGATCCCAAAGTGTCCATACCAAAGCAAGATGTATATAATGATTACATGTGAGTAGATGCATTGATCGATGATTTGCTTTGGAATTACAAGCTATAAGTATAATTTTCTCTCGCAGAGCTTATTGTGAACGTCTGGACATAAAGCCGCTTTCGACCGCAGATTTTGGTAAGGTAATGAAACAAGTGTTCCCCGGCATACGGCCACGCCGTTTAGGTACACGTGGTCATTCTCGCTACTGCTATGCAGCTATGCGTAAAACCACCGAATTAGATTCACCTCAACTCCCACTACTCGATACAACTACCGCCAATGAGTCATCCCTGATTGGTGATGGCAGCAACACCCTATTTGAAAATGCTACTGCGTTCAGTGGTGATACAGAGATATGGCAAACCATACGCAGTTGGGCGGAGAGTATGTTAAATGTGAAAGTGGATAGCGCACGGGAGCTAGCGTCCCATATAAAAACTGTAACCGGCGATAGCCAATTGTCCACATCAAATGTACGCTCTGGAAGCAGTACTACACATAAAAAGTACACACCGCGTGAGCCGAAAGAGAAACGCTTGATGGTGGTAAGTTCAAACATAATAAGTTTTAGTAATTTTTCGATATTCTTGTGCTTAATGATTTTATTGACAATTTTATTTAAGGACATGGGTCCTCTGAAGAAACGACGCAAGAAAAAACGCAAAGGATCGTCTTCGTCAGAATCCAGTTGCAGCCAGACTACAGCGCAAGCGCAGCCACAAACGACATTTTCTACCGCGGATACGCCAGCAGTCGATGTTAAGCCGCCTGTAATGAGCGAATTCATACAAATAAAACAGGAAATGATGGATTCGCCGACAATGCCACGAGTGCATCACTTGCCTGCTTCCGCGACACAAATGCCGCAAATGGCAACAGGTACAGACAGCTTTTTGCAACAAAAACAGCAACAGCAAATGTTACCTATGGATTTGGCAACTGAACAACGTACAGTGTTGGCACGTGCACCACCAGCCCCTAGTGCCTTTGGAGTGGCTCACACACAGCTTCAAACACCACAACAACGTCAATCACTACGCACTACCTTGGCAGGCGTAACTCCTAATACAACAGCCGTAAAGAATCTAACACCAAAAATCATTGAACTTGGCGCGGTTGAATCTGCTGCAATGTCAGCAGGTGGAGCACAAGAGCCGAACGCAGTCATTAAAGAGGAAGAATTCTTTGATGAATATAATACGAATATATTTTGCAAGAAAGTACGAAAAGCACAACAAACCAAAGGGTTTTGGGCTAATTCGCCCACTTCTGTAACAAGTAATAATGCCGTGCCTATAATTACAACAACTGCAGCTCCTAAAGAGGTGGGACCTTCGCCAACAAGCTTATCAGCTGTTGCCACATCAGTTATTGCCACGTCTGCCGTGACGTCCACTCAACCCTTGGAAGGCAATCAAGACGCCGGCTCCACATCTAGCGATTTAATGGGACCACCAGCACAAATTGGCAGCAACACCTCGGTTAGTCCGTCGAGCTCGCTATTAGGTGCAGACAGCAGTGGCACTACTTCCCATCCACCCACCGCTGCTTCACCCAAGGTTTTGTCGCGCAACATGCTACAAATGCGCGCTAAGCGCCAACAAATTATGGCCGCTTTGGCAGCTGAAGCCACTGCAAATGCTGCCAACAATTTGACTGATCCGGATGCAGGTGATCTGTCAGCAAATTTGGGTTTGCCACGCGAACGTGTTATTAGTATATGTAACATGGACAAACACGAATTAGATGATTACTTTGTAGCTGGCGAGGTCGAGGAGGAACCAGAGGACCAAGATACCGAATTGCTTCAATATTTTCAGACGAGAGACGCTGAGGAAAAACTGAATTCCTTAGATGCTGTAAAATCAAATAGGCATCCAACAGTCACGACACAGGCAACCACAACAACAACGATGCCAACAACGAAAACGTCAACACCAACGACGTCAAGAGTGCGTGCAAAGCCAATGGCAACGAAATGTTCGCCACAAACTATCAGCAGACAACTGAGCATACAATTAAATGCCATGGATAACTGTAGTTATTCATCACAAGTGTCGAATAGTGGCTTTACTGCCGCTGCTGGTACCAAAAAGCAAACAGCACCAGACGCTGTGCTGTCCAAAACAAGTCCTACAACAACAATGGCTGTTGGATCGGCCTCAGCGTCTCTCACTTTCATGTCACAGAAGCATCAGCAACAACAACAACAACAACTTCATACACAAGTTCGACAAGAAAACTCGCAGCTAACGCTTGCACCAAACAACGCTAAAAACAATACTAACTTGAACAAACGTAAAATCAGTTTAAGTGGCACCACGCTAAATGCAGCCGAAGTTATTGCGACACGCAAAAATTGCATATTCTTTCCAATATCGCCCAATACCAACACTAACACGATAAGCCAGAACAATAAAAATCCTGTCAATAACGGTAACAATACAAAATTGAATGGTAGTAGCATTTCGCTGAATGCGGCGAACACGCTCAACTCGGTCGGCGACAATGGCGGTGGCTCCTATTTCGTCAGCCCCGGTCATAGCGCGCACCGTGTACGTCCGAAAGATGCATTTGCACTAGGAAAACAGTTGTCATTGGAGCACGATTCCAGTGATCCGATGATTGGCGCCAGTCGTCGACGTCGGAGCTATGCCAATATCGGCGCAACCGGTGGTAATAGCTCACTCTTACCAATCACCTCAGCATCGGCACCGCCAAGTCCGTCTGTTTTGCAACAGCAACAACAACAACAGCAGCAACAATTATATGGCACACCGTTTTTCGGAGGTGACATAAGCCAACAATCGAACAATCATGCTGCAAGAGCTGCAGCCTATAATCAGATAAACACTAACACAGACGTAAGTGCAGCCGAGCTATTGGGCGCCGATCAAAACTCATTGGATTTGGATATGTTTAGCGCGTCAGTGGACAGAGGCATGGTTTATGACGAATTAACACTGAATGAGCTTACTACTGCTGCACCTAATGAGATGCAGCGTTCACAATCGGTACCACTATCACAGCTACAACGCATACATTCGCCGGCCTTCAATCGTAGTTTTCAAGCGGCTCCCTATTCGGCGTGTACATCGGTTGCACAAACACCGGTGCCACATGAATTCGCTGACTCAACGACGTTCTTCTCCGAGAATAGTTGTAGTCAAAACAGTGGTGGTGCCTTAAACGGTAAGCATGGGAGGCAAACTATGTCCGCCAAATTACTGGACGACGAAGCTGCCTTATTGGCTAACGATCCGGACACGATGTTGGATAACCTGGAAGAAATGTTCAATACAAATTTTTTGCGCATGAAATGCCCAAACAATTTTCAAAGCAACACCACAACAACGACTTGTTCTTCGGCAGGCTCGTCATCGGGTTATAGCAGCAGCGCTTGCATGGCATTTGGTAGCGCTGCGCTAATATCGGGCGGTGGTGGTGTTGGTGGAAGTGGCAATAACATATTGGGTTGTACAGGTAATACAATGTCGCGTTCGGTGCCATCCACGCCGCTGCCACATCAGCAACAACAGAGCCCATTCGCCACACACTTTTATGGCGGACGTCGACGGTTTGAGGATGAAGTGAATCTCTCACCGTCGCTCACAACTTCTAGCAGTACCATGGGTGGCACATTTACTACAACTGTATTCAAGTATGGCAACAACGGTGGCGGCTCATTCGGAAATAGTGGCGGTGGTGGTGGTTGCAGCAGCAATTACGACATGTCACGTTCCATGCCAACAACACCAACGGCGACACCACGTTTTCGCTACAGCCCCATAGAGTTTACGCGCGAATTTCTCAGCAACGGCAACACTATCGATAGTCTCATCAGCGGCGGCGCAAATACCGGCAGCTTGACCGATGCTGGTGCACCCAGTGAGGGACTTAGCGCTGCGCTAACTGGACTTACAGGCAATAATGATGCGCTTATTGATGATAGTTGCGGCTTAACCGCCGATGTCTTCGTCAATCACACCGTCACCGATGCTGATTCAATAATTGCCGAAGCGAATGAGTTACTGGGGAATTTGTAGAATTCGCATGAAGAGGAAGTGGAGTTGGCTACTAGCAATGATATGAATAGCAAAAACAACAACACTAACAATAAACATATTTTAGAATCCGCTAGTGCAGCGGCAGCCAGTCCGCGGTCGTTTGCTCATGAAGCTCAACCACAAGATAATGTGATTCCAAGCAGTGTTGTTGTTGGACTGTTGTTGGAGCAAGTTGGTAAGCTTTAGAGTTTTATCAACGTATTTCATGTATGTTGTTGTTGCATATTTGCTGGTAAGAAAACTTGTGAGCTTAGCTTTTGCTTTTGTTGTGCTTAGTTTATTAAAGTTTGAAAGACATGTGCTAGTGTTGTAAAAATACTTCCTCACTACTTTCCTTTCCATGCCATGGAAATATTTAGCTAAAGTCAGTTCCACATGAGGCCGCGTGTGTTGGAAATAAGCTAGAAAACATTCCACATGCTAGAAAACTTGCCCAGTTCTGAACGTTATAGTCTTCTTCTGCACATCAGCTGTTTTTTGTTTACATCCAAAAGCAAATTTGTAAAACACGAATACAAAAATATTCGGAATTTTTTGAAAATGTATGTATTTGTTGTGATTACTAACTACATAAGAGAAATATGCAAAAAATTATAATTACATAAGGAAAAAATATTTAGGCCCGTGACACGAGATTTAAGAAAAAAATTATAGACGACAAGTTTGTGAAACAAAGTATGGTAAGGTTGTCCTAAACTATTGTGGTTGTAACCGTAAATTGTAAAATGTTTGTTGTAATGTTGATAAATTCGAACTTCGTGGCACCGTACCACATTATCAACTTTAAAAACTATCAAAAAATATTTTATAGTTTTAACAGCAGCATAAAAACTTTGAGAGTTAACAATAAACAATTTATATTTATATTAGTGCAGTCCAAAGCCCTATTGAGCTTTTTTTTTACATCAAAAACAACCACTGTTAGACAACTCATATCAAATGATTTCGAATCTGTGCAATTGCAACAACATCAATATATCTTTGCTGAAAATACAAGTACATAGGTCTCCATAGCCAACGAAGCTTTCTCTTCAATCGCCATTAAGTGCCGCACGAGTGAAATTTGTTACGATTTTCACTCAACTAGAGTGTCAATATTACACACTTCTACAAATGTTTATATTTTTCGATATAACTGTGCTGTTATCCTATAAACTTAATCACCATATTTTTGTTATTACTATTATTTGTTTGTGGAATGAACAATTCAATTGTTTGTTAAATGTTGTATTGTATATTTGGATATGTATGGATAATGTAATTGTCGTATTAAGTACATAACTGTTTTATGTAAAGTTATACATACAAATGTATGAAAATACATTTATAAATGTAAGGGCTGCAAAAATACAATTTAAAATGCTAAAGTACAAAACGGAAAATTTTCAAAATATTTTGTACTTTTATTTCAGTTGAGCAAAAATTCATTTACACTTCAATACTAGTACTGCATTAACTTTCTATAGATAAACAAATATTTTTGTACGTTGGTAGCGTTGCATTTTCAATGAAATTTGAGCAAAAAACGAAGAATATTAAGCGCTTCATGGTTGTCCATAAGAAGAGCATACTTTAGTTATGAGTAGCTCAGAGCACGAAAAGCCGCTAACTGTAAAATATTTATAATTAAATGCTTTAACGATTTCATTTAACCGATTGCCTTAACATACCGTACACATAACGACGGAAAGTTTCTTATGACTGATTTACATACAACTTTTGATACGCTTTGCTTTAAGCTTTTGCTTTGACCGATAATTTCGATGTATGATTTTGTATGAGTTCGTTCAGATAAAAAGTGCCAAAGCAAAGCAAAATGTTGGGAAACTCTCTTTTTTTATGCTTTGACAAGTAACAGTCGCCATTTTAATTAATTATTGTTTTTATTTCTATGATTCTTCAATTTAATGGAAATACATTTTGAAAATGTGTCACATTAGTACACAGTTTAGTTAAGCGCATCTGTTAAAATGAGCAAAACTAAAGACTAAATATTAAATATCAGAGAGAAGAACGGAAAGCAAAGCGTTCATTTTGACATAACTTAAGATTTCTTTGCTGCGTTATTAAAGTATGAACGGTCAAGCAAATCGAGAAAAGTTTTATTTAAATCAGCCATTAAAGTCAAATTAATAAAAAGGCTGTGCTTTGGGCCAACGCGCCAATGACATTGAAATTAAAATTTCCTGTTCTAATTTTCTTTTTTTTTGTTTTGATTTGACTATGTATGAATTAATTTTCCTAAATATTTTTCGAAAATTTCTACACCCATATAGTTAGCAGTTCAATTTATTGAATTTAAATTAAATTTAGATATAAATCAGAGTATATAACTATTCTACAATTTTACAAGCTTTAAGCTGAAAAGTTCATAACATAAACCAAAAATGTGAAAATAAATTTTTTTAATGAAAATTAGCGAACATATACGTACATAAAATCAAATTTTTACAACTGTAATATTTATATAAGTAAATATCTGTATATTGGCAGCGAAATTTGGACTTTTATGATCAAAATTTATATATTATATGTATACCTGTAGGGAGGCATAAGAAAATGCGAATTTTTATTGTACAATTGAAAATAGATTTTTTCACGCTTTTAACGTATAAATTAGCAAGTATGTGCATATATGTAAGCACATTTTAAACGCATACAAAAGTGTCTAAAAAACAGAAATAATACAAAAGCGCCTTGCATGTGACATAAGAACATTTGTGAAGATATTGTTTATATGTGAAGAATTGTTTATAACTTTCCCCTTACTAAATAGCTATAATAAATAGTTTTGCTTTTTTTCAAACTTGTAAATTTTTGCAATCTATTGCAAACTTAAGTAGACTTAAAAAACAAAGGAGTATGAACATGAATTTAGAACTTACATATATTTGTATATTGTGTTGGCGCTTGCTGGAACTAATTTTTAAACCTATTTCTAAAAAATTGATTACAACTTCTTCGCAAAGCTTCCGAAAGCTACAATACATATTTAAGGCTTTGCCGCAAAGTTAAATATCGTTTACAACTTACTTATGAATGGATAAATTCCAAACAAATATTTAGCTCTTTCATGTTTCAAACTGATTCCGTGCGAAAACTTGAGAGAAGGTTTTGTTTTTTTTAAAGAGAAATGAGAAAACACAGAGCTTCTAAATTTTTACTATATATTTATTAAGCCTTTAGCTGTAATTTTAAACTTTTTTAAGTAAAAATATTTTGTTAATTGCGAGGTTTATCGCTCCAATAGCACCCATGTAGAAAAAAGGTGGACAAACAGCGTACATGATTCCAGCAGACTGGCAAAAATCAAAAAAAACAAATTGCATTTTAATCTGTAGGTAGATGGCTATCGCCAGAACTAGGCTCTTTTAAAAAAATTGAAGATTACTATTTTTAAATGCTTTAATAAACATTAAAATAAAAAATTTTATGAGTTTTTCCGACAATTTTTTTTTATGAAAAAACGGTTCCAAATTTTTTAAAAATCCTTGTTCTGGCGATAGACACATGTGTCATAAAACTACCATTAGCAATCATCGGAAAATTACTTTACCAGCACATTCTATGAATGCTCTAGATTGGATTTAAGCAAAAAAAAAAAAAATCAAAAATAAGAAAATCGATTTTTTTGAAACCGTCATACGGGATGACCCCTTAAAGTTGTAAATAGCTTTGAAAGTTTAGAAAACGCTTTTAATAAAAATTACAAAGTAATTTTGTATTGACTTAAAAAGCTTTCGTAGCATGTAGCGAGATTGTGATAGCGAAAAATAATTGTAATGAATTATTTTTTAAATTAAGGTTTGAAAAGCACTTTCGAAAACTTTAAAAGCTTTAAAGCTTGCCATTTCCGAAATTTGTAATGAAGTTACCCTATAGTGTTATGGCAGTTAAAGTTGTATCTAAAAATTGCATCCAATCTTTTTAAAATGAATTAATTTTTGCAGTTTCTTATGATTCGGTTCTTCTAAGTTTTCAAAAAACTGCTGCTATACTGTTTTTTAATCGGGTTTTAACTATTGTTTTATTAATTTGTGCGATACATTTTGAAAATTAATATCGAAGCTTTCAAGCTTACTAACGCAAGCTGCGAAGATCACTAAAACAAGCTTTGGTGCTTACTTAAGCTAGCCAACAGTTTTCAAAAAAAGTTTAAAACATTGCAAGTCGTCTGAGCATCATTTATCATAGTCATTTAACTAGCATGCACAATGCTAAATATTCGTATAAATCAAAAAGAAATAAATATATTTTAAAAAAAATTAAATATCTTCTTTTCGATTGTAAGTTCCGCAAGCGCCACCCTGTATGCATATGTAAACTGATTTAAAGGTTTCGGTTGTAACAATTCTTAAATTTTATAAAAATATTTTCAATATATATGCTATGTAATAACTTTGCTTTTCTGTAATTTTATTACATTAAATATTGTATATTTTTTCTGTGTCTTATTATGCAATAAGTGGATTATTGTCTTCTTAACCTCTTTAATGTGTGTATAATGCTAAGTGATTTTGTTTGGCTATTTGTTGTTTTATTTACTCTCTCTTCCTCTCTCTTTTAATTATGTAAGTCACCTATGAATACAAAATACTTTAAATAAAAACTGACACAATTTACAAATATTATGAATATACGTAAGCATTAGTTTTATAAAATAAAATATTATTGTATGCAAAAATTAAAAAAAAAATTATTTTTGTTGCCCAATTTGTGACAAAAATATTTGTTTTCGCTAAGAAATTGACACTTTGAAGAAATTACGCTTTCGAAGATTTGTTGTTATTTGTATTTGTGAGCAAAATTTATTGTTATGAAAAGTGTTTGAATGTATACAATGCATACGAGCAGATGCCGATATAAATACTTTAACCGTTAAGATGTTGTAAAACAAAAATAAAGAAAAAGTAAACTCAATTAAAACCATTTTTCACAAACATATTTCCTTTGAACGATTTGTAATTTATTTATAAAATTAATAAAAAAACATAACATAAAAAGTAAACTCAATTAAAACCATTTTTCACAAACATATTTCCTTTGAACGATTTGTAATTTATTTATAACAAATATAATTCGCAGAAGCAGCACTATACTTAGGTAAAACACTTTTTTCTTTACTTATTACAACAACAAAAGAAAAGGGAAAACAACAACAATTAATAAAGCAGTCTAAAGTATAATTAAGCAAAAAAAGGTATGTGGAAGGAAATTATGTGTTTGTGCCTCAGGCTTATTTGTAAATGACCAATAAAAGAAATACACAAAAAAGTAAAGAAAACAAGAAATGCTGAAAATTAAATGAATTATATTATACTATTCTTATATCCATATACATGCAACTACCGTTAGATAAAACAATGTATACATTGCTTATACATCAAACAAATTATATACATACATACATATATATATATATATCTTTACTATATATGTATATAAAAGTGAGGATGTGTATATGTAACAATTCGGCGTTTAACTTGCCAAATTGTCAAACAGAAATGTCGGAAGAAATAAACAAAAAAAGAAACGCATTGTCAAGAAAAGGATTTTTAAACAATTCAAAACACTCTACAGAACCAGTACGCATACAACAACAAACCAGTGTGAAGCCAAATGAAATTTCGCAAAATAATTTAAACAAACAGTGAGCAGCAACTTAAGTCTAAATGAAAATTGTAAATCATTTAATATAATAACCGAACAGCTAAACACCAATCAATAATACATATATACAGCAATAAAGTGTAACTCAAGTTGCATACATGCATACAAACACACGTAGTTATGTATAGCTACAAAGAAAGCCTGCCGACAAATGGCAGTGTCGTCATCCGCAAAACCAATAAATCAATTAAAAATCGCTTAGTAACTTAACGAATTAGCACAGAACTTACAATAGGCCTAATAAATACATAAATACAGTTATAACATAAATATTAAAACAAATAGAATATTGGCTGCGGGTTTTTTTTTATTCAAAACCAATCTAATCAATACGATTACATATGAACAAACATATAGCGCAAGTAACCAACTACTGACCTAAATTAAGCATTAAGTTACAGTTATATACCGTAAAAAGCATATATAAAACTCCTCCAACGCATTGAATAACAGTTGTAATTATTAATGTAATGTAAAGTAATGCAATGTAATGCGTAAAATTTCAAGGGAAGACAAGTCCACACACACATATACTTATATACATATACATTATATAATATCTGCATACATACATATATATGTACAACCATAGTCCGTAACGTTATATAACTACTATATACAGACATAAATAGAACTCCTTTTTGATAAAAATTCGTAAATGAAATAAGATTGAGATGAGAAAAATAATAAAAACTATAAAAAAAAACAACTTTGAAATTTTTAATCTGAATTTTACTACAGAGCATCACGGTCGTCTGTAATAAGGGGCATTCCGTTTCTACCAAATACCACGGATTTTCGAAATCCTATAGAATTAAACAAAAATGCCGTCCCCAATATTGCCTTCGCTTCCAGAGAAGAGTGGGAAAGGAGTGAGATGGACAGGGGTACAGAAATAAGTATCTATACGAATTGGTCCAAACGATCGAGTGAGATACCAGTATCGTCTTTCGCCTACCAGACCACTACAGTGTCTTCCAAGCGGAGGTCACAACAATTAAGGGGTTTAATGGGTTTCATGGCTTCAAAAAAAAAAAATTATGGTCTTATTTAATTCTATAACATCTCTACAATATTGTCTTAAATGCTCAAGTTGCTCCCAGTAATAGTTTTGGAGATACAACTTTGAAAAGTTGCGCGCTCGAGGTCAGCTATATAATCACTTAAAACTTTAAACGCGTTTTTCTCGAAACTGTGTTTTCAAAGTCGGTTGTCAAGATTTCTTGAAAACTACTCAACCGATCTTAATGAAATTTTACACAGGTCTTTGAGATATAATTTACAAGGACTTGAACGAAGGATTATTTTTTTGTTCAATTACAACTATTTCAAAACACAAAAACGTCGAGAAATTTTCACCAAAATTTGCATTCTTTTGTAAAAACGTCTACCAAAAATACAATTTTCACTATTTTTGTTTTTCCTTCGTCCAATACCTAGTTTATGGTCTTAATTCAAACAAGAAGTTTTGATATTTTCCTTTGAAAATTTCACAAAATCTTTGTAATAATACAAAGTTTTAATAAAATATTTAATTTTTTAAATGAAAAAAATAAATAAATTGAAAATAGGGCGTTTTTTGGGCGACGAAACCCATGAAAAGCCTTTTTCTGACAAAGAGAGTGCTCACAACAAGACATATATACAGATGACCAAGCGGCTTTGAAGTCATTAAAGTCCCTTAGGGTTTCATTAAAGATAGTGAAAGAATGCCTTGATTTCTTAGTGGATCTAACATCCTATTTCACGATAAACCTACAAAGGGTTCCAGGACATAGTTATACTCCTGGTAACTGTGAAGCAGATGAACTAGCCAGAGCAAGCGCCACCCTGCAATTAGAGTACAAAAAAGTGGGGATTTATATGCCTTTGGCAACTTGTAGATACCTATTCGAGTGACCTGAGTCTCGGTGGAGTCAATCCTTAACTTGTTCAACAAGCAGATGGGCCGCACATGCCGCCTATTAAAATTCAAAAGTAGTGACATAAAAACTAGAGTAGGAGTTCAAGTAGGTCACAGTCTAATTGGCAAATATAAGAGCAGACTGGGAATACCATACGACGACTGTTGTAGAAGCTGTCAGGAGTTAGAAGCAAAAGAGACTACAGAACATCTTCTATGCAAATATAAGGCTTTGTATAGAAAAATAATCGCAACTATTTTTTGACGATGTCTCGGAAGTAGTAAAAATTAAACTTTTTATATTAATGAACTCCATCGGTGGGTCAGAGATAATATAATAAGTAAGGGGATTTTATCGGGACCGGGATCCCGGTGGTTTCACAATGGGTCTCCAAAAGGCCTAGGTGCGTCGTCAGCTACACTATAGGCAGGGTGTGGTTTCAAGATTTTTTGAAAAAAAAATTTTTTTTAATCTGAATTGTAGTACAAAGGATCGCTGTAGGGATGGGCACTTATGGTTTCAGCATTTTGTTTTTAAATATTCACACACTAACGGGTTTAATGTATTGTACATACCTCACTAACTACCAAAGTTATATCAACCAAATAAAGAATATGTTGCAAAACTGGTTGAAATCGGTGTATAACCACATACATACCCATGCAACTATCATGTTCATAACTATTCAAATCGCGATTGTACAAATTCTTAAGTGGTTTTCTAAATTGTATACAGACTAATTCAGAATAATTTTGAATGAAGCATTTCCAGATAAACAAATTTATTAAATATTTTAGTTGAATTAACTAAATATATCCCCATGTGACCAGTGTGAATTAGCCGTACCAGTTCGATGAGGTAACCTGTTTCTGAAAGAGAGATTCATTTAATAGACTTATAACACATCTAAAGTTTAATCTTTGCGGCCCCTGCTCACTGGAAGATACCGATAAACTTTTTTATATTTACTTGTATTTCTCTGTAGACGCTACAGACACCTCACCAAACATTATCGATTATTTTATACTTTGATACAACAACTGAAGCATTTATAACCAAACGATAACGTCCGAAAAATTGCCAACAAAAATTGTGTGACCTTGAAATTTATATTTTTATTGTCTGGTTTTTATTTGCACCTGATTGGAGTATTTAAGATAATAGTAGGTGAAGTGTACGTCATTAAAATGAAAGAAAAGGAAAGGAGCAATATAAGATAAGATAATCAATTTTGGCGTGCGCATAGCAAAGTTAAGTTTTTTGTCGAAGAGAAACTGGCGGGCAACAACGCATTTCACATATGATGTTCATTCGGGTAAAACAAGGCCCATTTTTGATTTATGATTATTTTTATGATACAGTTAAAATTTATTGTCAAAAACTAGTGGTACATTATAGTATGACATTTGAAGATTATGCAGCGTCTAGGGGGTTTTCGAAATGAAAATTTTTCACTTTCAGGGGTTCGGTTAAATTGTTATTGTAAAAAGGATCAACTTGAAATTTAGAGTATAAACTATTTCTAAAATACTTTTAAGAAGTTTGTAGTCGTCCGGTTCTTTAACCAGTAAGGCACGCGTTTACAAACTCTATAGTTAAACTTCTTCGAACATCTACCATACATACTTACGTACCCATAATTTCCTTTCAACACAACTCTGTTGTCGAATATTTGATGTTCTTTTTAAGACATAAAATGATCACTTAAGAGAAGTATTATTAAATGCGGTAATCCCTTTAACCAAACTTGTAGCATGGTCTTAGGGGATTCAACCTTCAATCGGCCATATATCGGCCTAAACAACTGTCAAATTTATTCAAATCTGTTAGTTAGGTGCGATTATTAGCTAAAAGCTAATGACGCAGAGGTTTTAAGGTGTTTCTTTGCAGGAAATTGTGGACATTTTTTTTACCATGAAATCATTTCTAGTTTTGAAGTGCGAAAAAGCCTTGCCTCCATTAAAATGCGTTGTCTGTTGTGTTTTCCATAACCAATGTTGGTAACCATCATAAAGTTAAAACGTCAAAGAGCTAAGGGGCTCCAATAGGTTGCTGCTAAAATCCATACATCACCGGTAACCAACACAATATTGGAATGAATGTTATATGATTTCACTTCCTTAGCCTACTTCTTGCGAGTGTTTGTCAGGTAATTGTTCTTTACTTATAAATCGGCTCAAACTGAGCAGTTAAAAACCAATATTTTGGGGAGTTCTTTAGATATGGCCGTCTATGCAGTAATAAGTGGCGCAAATTTGACTAGCAGGTTGATCTTAACAAGTAGCAGACGGTGTGGCCATCTCCTGGAATTTAAATTGTACAAACAGTAAGTACTAGAAAATATACGAACTAAACAAAATATTGCGAGAGAGAATGTAGTGAATTGTTGGAGGTAAAAATCTGCAAAACATTATTGCAGAGCCCCTGAAAACTCCGGACCAGCGAGGTATCGTCCTCGCTCTCTCTCGCTTTCTCCTTCACTGCATATCAACGCAAAAAAAACAAAACGAATATGTATGTATACTGAAAATCTTTTACGATTTTCCTTTACAAGAAATTTTATTGCATATTTTCAAAACAGTTTACTGTTACATCTGAGAAATATGTATGTATATATTTATTTAATATATATATATATATATCTATATGTATATTACAAGTCCGTATATGTGTTAATTATTTTATTTATAATAATGCTGCCTTTAATTATTTTGTTCATTTTACTATATCCCGTACTACTTTACGCTAAACTGTATATTTACTTTTTATAATATCTCTTGTAATGTTATTTAACTATGTTGCATCGATAGAATTTTGGCTTTTCTGAATTATGCTTTTCATTTCGCTTTATTTTTTATTTTTGAAAATTTTATAACTTTACGGTTAGTTTAGAAAAAGTTATCATACAAAAAGCATCAAAAAAAAAATTTGTAAAATAATCAATTTTGAAAAAAAAATTAATTTTATTTTTAGGAATATTTCATTTTACTTTTGTTTTTTATTTCAGTTTTTGGTTTCAATTGTTTATTTCGCTGAGGTGGAAAAATTCTTTAAATTTCCTATACACTTACATATATTACTGTATTTAATATGCTTAAATATTTGCCGTTTGAATTTAACTCTTTTACCGCAATGGAATTTGGTGTTCTTGTTTGCATTATTTTCAATTATACTTTACATATATTTTATCTCTTTATTTGTTTTTTTTTTTGTTTTGCTTTTGCATGCGTATTATGCAAAAGTAATCGTTTTTGATAGGCGTGCTGAGTTTTGGGAGCTTTTCACGTAAAATGGTTGTTGTTTTTGTTATTATTTCATTATAACACATGCAATGCATACATATGCATATGCAGGCATACATGCGTACATACGTGTGTGAAAAAATTGTATTTATAATATCGTGGAAAAAAGGTTCATCGGTTTGTGAGTTTACACTTGAAACATTTTGTTAATATTTTTATTTTTGTATTTTTCATATATTTTAAATATTTTATTTGTATAATTCGCGAAGTATATATATGCTTATTTACTTTTATGCCTGTGTGTATGTAAGTTATTCGCCCTGAGTAGGAATGCCAATACTTTAAAAGTTTTCCAATAAAAATTAATAACAAAGGCCCTGTTGCTCAAACACTTTTCATACTTTGACAGACTAAATGGCCTAGCTGTCAATTGGGAGTTTGAAATCAACATTCATACTTACATATTTATATGGTTGTAAGTATGTGTGTTTTTTCTGTTTTTTATTTTATTTTATTTGCAAAAAGGTTATTTCATTCAACTGTCAACGACTCCCCCTGGGGCAATGCACTCAGTTGGAGATTTAAATGAACTCTTTTACTAAGCATAAGCCGAACTGTTTCCACTTCTATGCTGGCTTAGCGACATCTTTATTTTCACTTTTAAAAACTTTGAAATTTTCAAAATTTTGCTTCGAACGATCAGGATATGACCACGAACTCAGAATTCCTACTTAGATTTCGAATACACTGAAATTCGGGAATCCGTTTAAATTTCGAAAGACTCTAAATACAAAGAAAAATTTTGAATCGATAGTTAAATAAAAATAAAAGAGAAAATGCAGATATTTGTCGGAAGTAGTGGTTCCGATCAAGCCGGTTGGTTTTTTAAAGTAGTCAAAATTTATGCTGTTGTCAATAATGTTATTGTAGGCAGAGATGTAGAGACAACCATAGTATTTGTCATTATTAAGGTATAGTAGGTCCAAGAAACAAATTTGAACAAAAGAGTTCGGTTGCTATCGTTTATACCTATTTCAAATCTAATTGAAGCCCGACTTGCTTCAACCATTTTTTCGTAAAGATCGCTTGGGAATTGAAATACAGAGAAACTCACTTTGATGGTAATACAAGTTTTCAATATTAAATAGAGTAATAGTCAAGAAGAGCAATAGAAGAGAATTCCCCGAACGGTTCGACATGACCGGAAACCCGGATTTTATACGACCAAGGATAAGTCTGAGAATTTTATCTTTCCTGATAAATCAAAGTAAGTAAGTTTATATTATTGAAATGCCTCAAGGAAGCTGAAAATGGTGTTAATGTTAATTATATGTTAAAATATAAAGTAAATTTCCAAAAAACCAACAGAGTTGCATTTAAAACTAAATGAGTTTTGAAAAAGGACTTGTACTGTTGAATTTTGGAAAATAGCGTTCGATATAGCCTTGGAAATTCAAATTTTAACCGAATCTTCGTATAACCAAACTACCCGAATGTTAGCCGTGTGAACAATCAATCCGTATGGAAGTCCGTGTAAGTACACAAACTATACTCATTCGGATAGCCACGCAATTCGTATCTTCGTATGTGTGGATACTCGTATAACTGCTTAAACGAATATTAAACGGATATTCATCAATAAATAAATACCAATGATAAGTGAAATGAGATGCACCAATATTCCAAAATGTAATATGATTCGAAGGGAAAAAGGAATATAAGATATCAGAAAAATGGCGTAGCGTTAAAACGGGGGAACATGCAGTGGAAAAATTCACATCAAATAATGTTCTGACGTTATGAATTGTCAAATACAAACCTAAAATAAAATTTTATTTGCGGCCGTTCCCACAACAGTCGGGTCTACCTGACCGAAACGGACCCGGTGTTTTATCCGACCACAAATTTATCCTCTACAACAACAACAACATTAATTACAGGTTGAAAACTTTTTAGTTCCCCCACTTTTTCCCGGTAAAAATAGTAATATTCGGCTTACAACTCCAATAAAATGATCGCGAAGAATTATTAAATTCCTGAAAATCGTTTCTGTATACTCGATTGAGTTCAATTCAACACTTAGAATCGCCTAATCAAGTGCACTGCCGTTCAAGTTCATGCTCGTTTTGTTTATTGCAATATTTTATTTACTTTCTGCCTTTTTAAGGTATATTTTGTATACTCTTTTTTTTTACATTTTTGTTGAAAAAAAAACCAACAAACAAACTCGAAAGCTCCATTTTTGCATTAATATCGTTTGCCCGCTACCTGTAAACCCGAAGTGTTGCCTCAGTCTGCCATAAAGCACACTTTAAAGAGAGAGAGAGAGAGAGACAACGAGCGCTTCTCGCCAAATTATTCGGGCGTTGCTTTGTTTTCATATTTAAAGGCATTTGCTTTACCTTCGCTTTACTTCGCCTATTTCTACACTCTTATTTTGCTTTTTATTTACGTATATTTATTAGATTCTATTTAATTTCATTACAGATTTGACTTCTTGGTTAAAAATTCAATTATTCAATTCGTAAATACTTTTCGTTTTGGATTTTACGTTGCTAACTTGTATTTTGTAAATTAATTAAATGCCATCATTATTTGTTGTTGTTACTGTATTTGTTTATTCATTTGCATTTGCATTTGCATTGTTCGAAACAACTGTACCACGAGTGTAATAATATTTAAATTTAATTTTCTTTATTTTATTATTGTAATTTCTATTTGTTGTTAATGAATTGTCATTTTTAATACATTGTAATTGTTGTAATTAAAGAACTATTAATTTTTCATTTCCTGAACGTGAATTGTTTGCCGGTTGCACTTAACCTAAAATTCATGTTTTCCATATTAATTTTACGAGTTTTTCGTTTTAAGTTTGTTTCGATTTTTATATTTCATAAATACTAGTATTATATAATAATTTTTGTATTAAATTAATGTTGCTGCATTAAATGTTTATTTATTTTTCCGCTAGTATTTAATTATTATTTTTTTAATAACTATATTTAATTGGTAAATATTATTTAACTAAATTGCATAATTCCTTCCCTACATTTTGTTTACCGTTACTTCTCATTATAATTATTTATTATTACAAGTTTGCTGCATTTTGCAGTTCATTTACTTTTTCTATATATAATTACTTTACATGGTTACTATATACATACATTCATATGTATTTCCTTTTTACCGTTGCATTGCCTGCGTTGAGCTTAACTCATTTTTTAATTTTAATATTTTTTTAAAATTTTTTTTTATTAATTAATTTACAATAAATGTTTTAGCTTCCCTTGAATTCACTTTTTCATGCTAAAATTGTTTTCTTTTATATTAGTTTTTAAATCTAAAATTACTTATATACATACATAACGTTATGCCTTTGCGCATGTGAATAAAATCTGTCGTCGCTTAACAATTTCAGAAGAAAATAAATTATTGCAAAAAAAATTATTTTTTACATATTTTTTTTTTATGGGCAACTCAGTGCAAAAGCTTCGATTTCAGTTCGTTCTTTACAGCTGCTGAAATTTTTCTTCTTTCACTTCTTTCCTTTCTTTCAAAAATATTTTTGTTACCCTCAGGCTTGTTTAACAACAAATTTTCACTAATTTTAATATTTACTTTTATAAAAATGTTAAATTTTAAGTAAATTAACGCATCGGCAATAAATCAACATTGCAAAATAAATTTTGTTTTATTAAATATTTCTTTAATTTTTCACAAATAAAAATGTGGAAAATGATGTTAAATTCTTCAACAAAATTTTAAAAACAAATTTAGTATACTAAAACTTAAGTTTTAATAAAATTTTTAACGAATAATTTTAAATTGTGCATTGCAAACTGTGTTATAAAACATATTCTTTTAACAAAAATAAAACACAGCAGAAAACGAAACAAACTGTTCAAAAAATTATAAAACAATATAAGCTTGAATAAATATATATGTATGTAGGTATATATTATTTAAGTGATCTCAGCAAACGTAATTCAAGTATGTCTCACAAATCGCTGTGCCGAGAGAAATAAAAATTAATTTTAAATTAACAAAAAAAATTCATTAAAATAAAACTAAAAAAAAAATACAGAAAAAAAATTAAATTAAGTTAAAAAAAATGTAATTAAATTAAAAAAAATTAACGAAAAACTTAAAAATGTGTATTGCGACATTTCTTTGTTTTGTCAAATAGTTATGTAAATGAAAAAACATCGTTCAGTTACCTTACCATGCGCGAAGTGTTGGGCGCGTGTTGGTGTAATTTTCATATTCCAAACATTAAATTGGAAATTAAAAATTTTTTCTTCACATACATAGGCATTAAAGAAAAAACTTATACTTTCAAAGCTTTTGCTTATACAGAGCATTCGAGCGAGCTATAGCACATAGTAAGGTATCAAATGAACAAAGGTTGATATTAGAAAAATCAAATAGTACAATTTTGCAAAATTATGTTAATTAAAAAAAGTGAATACAAAAATTAATTAAAATTATAATAAATCAATTATTGCAATATTTCATCTGAAGTTTAGTTTCAAATGTGAAATTTTATAAATTGAAAGCGAAATATGAAATATTCTGCAAGTTTGTAGTCAGGTTTTATGAAAGAAGTAAAAAAAAACATGTTACAAGAGTATACAAATATTGACTTCCTAACTCTAAGCATCAACTTGATGACTTTGAAAAGTGATTTCGAAGCCAAAAAAAATTCTTTGAAACGAAAGAATTTAAACTTTTTCGAAAGCTAGCTGAAAAATAAAAATTTTGAACAGAAATGTTTACATATAAATTTTTAGGTATGTACGTTATATTTTTTCAGCTTATTTGAGTTCTTGGAAAACATTTTGAAATTCCGAAAACTTAGCTGTACTTGAGTACATTTGCTAAGCTTTTTCTAAGACAAGTGGTTTTGACCGGTGCCCCAATGATGCGACTCCGTCGAAACAGCACGTTTCCTGGGCCTGCCGTTAGATGAATTCAATGACAACCAGCTTGAACCACCCAAAAGGGGGTTAGATAACCGTTACAACAACCACAACCACATTTAAAATCTTCTCTGTTGAAAAATATTTTTAACAGAGACACTGTTGGTGCAACAAAGGTGTGTATGTGGATAAGTTAAGATGGAATATTCAAATCAGGCCTCAATGGTTTATGAACTCATTTTCTGTGTGAAATTGAGAAATTGAAAATAGCAAAGTTATAGTTTCAATATTAGTTTCTCTAGGAAGCTGAATCCAATAGTATTGTCAACGAAGAAATATTTGTAAAATATATGTAGGTATATATTCATTCAATAAAGTGGTTTGTATGAAAAGTTGTTCATGCCAGAAATAAACTCAGATGTTAGGAAATGCCAATTGAAGGTGGACAGATGATTACAAATTTTATTAGATGTCAGTCGGGTGTTGTAATTGAAGCCAGGACTTTAGAAGTGCTAGTGCGTATCTCTAAACACGTATTTTATATCATATTTTGCAATAGAATTTTGAAATTTTCGGTAAAACATTTAGAAAAAAAAACTATCTAAAGTATCCAAAAATTATAAAAAACAAAAATAATTTTAAATTAGAATACATACATGTATGGATTTTGAACTGTACAAATTGTAGATTAGTTTTCACTTGGGATAAAAAATTTTACTTAATTGAAATAAATAGTGTTTTAACTGTAATATATTTATAACTTATTAGTAAAAATTATTACGATCAACGAGAACAAAAATTATGATACAATTTAACCGTTTTTTGCCTTAATTATATTACAAAATAAATATATAAATTAACATTATTTGCTTTGTTTTGCCAATTGTTGTCAACCGACGATCGATTAGGAATAAGCTACAAGTGTCATGTGCTTAAAACAAGGTTGTGAATGAAAAAACAAAATAATAATATTAACGAAAAATTATGCAACACTTTCAACTTAACTAACATTGGTAGTTGTGGGCGTGGCTATAGCCACCGCTGATGCAGCGACTACGTCCGATTTGCACTTGTTACCACTGCTGTTGCCGCCAATTACGCCGCTATTGCTGCTGGCATTGATGTTCACATTGCTGCTGCTGTTGCTGCTATCCATAGACCAGTCCCAATCTTTGCCTTTCGGTCGAAATTTCGACGACTTATGATGATGGTGATGCTGCGAAAGATTTTGTATTGTCGACGTCGCCGACGCCGACGCAGCCGATGACAGATTGTTGTTGCTGTTGTGATTATGATTGAGCATTTCGGCAGATTTGATGTTCATTTCGGAACAGTTCTGTTGTTGTTGCTGACGCTTCGGCGATTTTTCAGGACTCACTTGATTGGGTTTCTTCGTCTCGCCGCCATTCGTTTTAGCAAATGATGTCGGACCATTTTTCATTACGCTCGCTACGCCTTTGCCAGCCGCATCGGCCGTTGTTGATCCGTCAATACTAGTATTGTTGGTGGCATCATTACTGTTATTATTCGCATATGGCATCAACAGATCATCACAATCGTATTCCCAATTGCGTTCGCAGAATTTCTTTTTATAATGCTTCTCCGATGACGACTTCGATTTGCGTTGATATTTCAGGGGTATCTTGAGTGTATTACTGCCAAAAGAATCAGCCGCGCTGGCCGGTGGTGTTGGCGTGGGTGTAACACTATGCGCTGCAGCCATGGCTGCGGCCAAGGGTGGCGTCGGCACTGCCGCATTCGGACTGGGTGTGCGCGGCAAGCCGATATCAGAGAGCGGCGGACTATCAATGGCGCTTGCATCAACCGGTGATGCCGAGTTCGCCTTCAGCAGTGTTATCGGCTGCATAGAAGCGACATCGGAATGCGTTGATTTCATGCTGCTATCGCTGAGGTGGTCTGACGATGAAGCGTGACTGCTAGCGGCACCGCCACCGCCATTGCCATGTGCATGCAGCAACAGCGAATGATGATGATGATGATGATGGTGTATTTGTCCATGCATGTAGCTATTGACACCGCTGCCGCCGGAGCTAGCGCTAGCGCCACTCACACTACAACCGCTGGAACTGCTGGTACTGCCAGCGCTGCTGCCGCCACTACTCAGGGGCATGTCCAGTTGTGAGGAGGTCGACGAGGTGGAGAGAAATGTGCGCGCCGTATCTGAGTTGCTGCTGCTGCTGTGGGTTATACCCGAATCAGGTGAAGTATTGCAACTGATCGACGACGGCACTATGTCCGTGTCAATTGAGCGACGCGTCTTATCCAATTCGGTGGAGGCGAAGGCGACTAGGCGATCGAAGCCGGAGCTGACCCGATGTTGCCAGTGTGTTTCATCGTCGGCGATGACATCATCTATGTGGAAAGTAAGAAAAAATTAATCCGAATTTTTTCAAAACTTTCATACTTATAAACTAAACGGTTAGATTTTGAATTGTAATTGGGTGAGTGTGATTTTGTGATGTTTCGATGTGTGTTTTAGCATAGAAGGTAATATACTCGTAAATTATCCTCATAAATATTTAACAACTTAAGCTAGCTTTGGTCGGTAAGCGTAAGCAAATCTAACTTATAAATGATAAAATAAAACGGTTTTATTTTATTTAAAACAAGAAAAAACGTTAATTTGAGTTGAATAATACACTTCAGAAATACAAAAGCTTTCGAACCAGAACTTGATTTTGATCGGTCAGTTTCTATGGCAGCTATAGCTATTGTGGTCCAATATTGTAGGTTCGACAAAAGAGCAGTTTCTTAGGTAGAAAAGGACGTGTCAAGGACTAGCTCGACCTGGTTCAGGGTATAAAGAGCGGATGAATGGGTTCGAAATATTAAAAATATTTACTCCGTCTAATTTAGGTTTAGTTTCCATTGAAAACATTGAGCATTGCTACATATGCCACTTGATATGTGAAAATAAGCTATTTAACGATTTTGCCATTCCCGTGAACAATCTAAGTCAAATGTTATAGCAGTGATTGAATGTAACCTCACCATTATCCAATCATAAAACTGTAGGTGTTGTCTTTTCGAAGTAAAATAACGTATTTTGCAAAAAATTAGTAATTTTTTTTACATTTGTGTTTTCGGTATTAATGACATTTTGACAATATTTTTTTTTTTTTAATTTTTAGACTAACATTATTTTAAGTTTGTAAAGCTTACACCGAAAGTGTCTAACAAAGTGCTTTAAAATAAGTTCTGGTGGTATTCGTGGATGGTAACAGGCATTTACTACACTAAATTTCTTCATATCTACGATTTTCTAACATTCATAATTTGTATAAATAAGCTTTTAAGCTTTTTTAGCTTTTGTGTGCTATTTCTAAACGAGTGCTTCACTTTTTGGATACGAACATAAATTATGACTATATTATTAGTATTATGTTAAATAAATGCATGATTTCAGATAAACTACTTGTTAATTACAATAACTAAAAATCACAACAATAACACACACTAAACAAAAAAAGGTAATTAGAAAGCAATCGATAACTATTTTGCAGACACTTACCAATTATTATATAATTTTTATAATCAAATTTGGTTTTATATATCTCGCATATATACATATTCGTATATATGTATGTACGTATATATGTGAATCACTATGGGGTGTGGAAACCCCTTTACGTCAGCTAAATTTTGAGCTTGTTATAGCCATAGCTACTGTATGGAGCAGAAATGGTATGGGAGGATTTGTTGGAAACTGGAATGTAATGTGTAGGAAAATATAAATGAGGAGATCAAATTCACAGCTAATACAAAGTGCGAAAAAAGCTGCTCAAATAGCAGGCAGGCAGGTGTGAGAAGTTAGCTCTTAAGGAGATCATGTTAGTGCAAAAATAGCGAAAAGTTAGCGTGCGATTATAGAATAAAAATTTAATTAAAATTTTTAAGGTCAAATCTAGTATTTGTCAATAGAGGTTTTAAAATATGTATACTATTTTTCTTAAATTTTATGATTTGTGCTTTTTAAATATTTTGGTTTTTTGTTTTTGCAATGAGTTATTTCAAAAATTGTATAAGACCCAACAAAAAAAATAGGAAAATCGGTGCTAGAACTATTAAGCTAATAAAATAAGTTTTTAAATGAGGTCATGGTCAAACCAAAAACAAATATGTCACAAAAGAAAGTCGTAAAGCGCAGTATTGCATGTAATGCATAAAAAAAATCAATTAACTTTTAAATCATTATTCTTTTTTTTTTAAATTTTTTAAACTCGAAAATCTTAAATTAAATAATTTTTCAATTTTTAATCCCAAATACCGGATTAAAAAAATATCTCAAATACCCAAATGAAAAATAAAAAAATGTTAGTCCTAGTTTATAATTAGTTAAGCAAAAATATTGTTTTTGAATTTACATTTACGCGTGTTTTACGATTTTGAACTAGAGCTCGCACTCAATTTTTAATTCTGATTTTGGTATTAAAATAAAGTTTTTCATTTTGAATTCTACTTTTGGTATAAAAAATTACATTTTATTCAAAAATATTGAGATTGAATCGCGATTTTTTTTAATAAGAAAAGTTTCCAATATTAGTAGCGCACAATACGACTGGCATAGTAATTCTAATTTACGTGAAAATTTAATTCACTCTTACAAATTTTTAATACGAAATATAAATGATAAATATTTTAAGAACGGTTAATAATATAATTCGTAAAATTTTTCATCGCAGTATACTAAAACCCAAATTAAGACTCGAAGTTCGAAATTATGTTAATTAAATATTTGATAGCAGTTTAACAAAAACAATTATCATCTCTTGGCGTTAAAACTATATGTTTTGTATTTAAAACAAAGAAAATGGGGACAAAATTTTAAGGTTAGGTAAACAATTTTTATAAAGTAGCCTAGTATAGTTATTTTTATTGGCTGTGGGCTGGTAAAAGCCAATGCAAGCAGCGTACAGTTTATATATAACTGCATGGAATGTTACTTGCTCCAATATTAAAGTACCAATATCAATCGCTTACACCTCTTTAATACTTTTGAATATGCTGCACGAAGTATTTTAAAATATGCTTAAACTAACCAGACATTGTTAAAAATCTTATTTTATTTCTTATAGTTCTGTTTTTTTTTTTGTATATTCCTGTTCTTTGTCGTGGTAGTAGCATAAAATATATCACAGCTTGCCTTTTGAACGAATTTGTTCTTCAAACATAAAATCTGTTATGTTTGCCTCGAAAACTTGCTAAAAATTAATGCCGTTTTAGCTTACCCACCACACTTACGAAATGCAACAATATCTAAGGTAACAACAAAAGCATTCAATTGCAACTAAATAATTTCGAAATTTGAGTAAAATAAACCCAACACCCAGACAGTGGAGCCCTGAAACCAAAACACCAAGGAAATTAGGCGGAGAGGGGAAAAATAAAAAAGCGTTTAATTATGTTGACAAATAAAAAAATTGATTAAATTTTAATTGCGTTAAAAAATTTCGAAATTTTTTTACATACATACA